TTTCAAACTAAGATTTGATATGCTCAAACTATGATTTGATTTACTTAAACTAAGATTTGATATACTTAAACTAAGATTTGATATACTCAAACTATGATTTGATTATATGCAAACTGTGATTAACTATGATTTGATTATATGCAAGCTGTGATTTTCAAAGTCTACAAACATATATATTCAAATGTATTTTGTATTTACTGAAATGTCAAGTATGAAATAATCGTAGCTAACAAATATCTCAAATGAAATTCATAATAAAAATATTGTAATATCAATAATTTCATAAAGTTAATGAACCGATTTTGGAACATTTCTGTTGCCAGAAGCACTTCGTTTTCGAAGGTGTGATCTTCGAAAGGTTTGATTAATATCAATACTTTTACGCCGTTTTTCGAGATATTTTGGTATTCTTTTGTTACTTTTAGGATATAATATCTGACCTGAAATTATGCACATTAATGACCTGAAATTATGCACATTAATGACCTGAAATGGTACACATTAATGACCTGAAATTGTGCACATTAATGCAAAGTCAGTAAATTTTTGATCAAAAACTGCAAACTTTTTTGCACTAATTACTATTTCTATATACTTGAATACAAATACTTAAATGAAATAAATATGTTTGATAATAAATCATTGAATAAAGAACCTTCTAAAAATAAAATGTACAAAACAATTTCAGACAAATTTAATACTGATGACCTTGTTGATTTGGTGGATGGATTGATTTAGCACATTCATCACTCAAACTTAACATTAACATTTTGGTTTTTTCTGGTATTTTAACACCGTAATGATCTAACATCATTCGCTTCAATTCTTTCATCCAACATCTTTTCTGATCCATACTAGCAGCCTAATAAATAAACTTATACAGATAAAAATAAATAACAAACAATTTTTGAATAATTACAAATTGATAATTAGCACAAATATTTTAAACTAATTAGAATAATTAGAATTACTTTTTGCAATACTCGATGAAAATAAATTAAGTATATACCAGGAAAATGTATTGAATTTTAGGATTATCATATGAAAGAACTTGAAATGCTAATGGATCGATGGAGATTGATTCGTTCAACATCAGACTTGAGCACTGCAAATAGTAATTAAATAATTTAACAATTATTAACTAAATTAATTATAGAAAAATAATTTAATAACTAATTTAATTAATTTTAATAATTATTTTTGCTATTGCAACTATTATTTATTTTCAAAATTCTGATATTGAGAAGTTAAATAATTACAATATTCAATACTTTTGCAAATTAAAAATTTTATAAAGCAACTGTTTGGAAACTGTAAATTATTGTAATAATATTTCCAGTTATCAGTGTAAAAATTTACAACATTGACATATCCTTCTGCACACTGA